ACAATCGACAAACTGAGAAATTTTCATAAAGTAACCCATCTATAGATGACACGAGTCCTGTCAAAATACAGCATAAGGATGCATGTTAACTTTTTCCCAATCACCATCCACCCACTACACGGGAAAAGTGGAATAGCCCAGTTTCAGGTACTTGCCCAAAGTTTCGGTGAGTCACACTGACCGAGCCGGTTCGTATCTGGCATGGGCACTTACATTTCAGTCACCGACTATTACAGTGTATAATATACTTAAAATGCCGCTAATATCGATTATTTCCAGAGCTTCTTGAGCAGACTGACTAGATTGCCATAACGCTAACCTACCTGCCAGTTTCTGTGACTTCAAGTTCGCACCATATAACAACAGCTGCAAAATACGTGTGGGCAATCGAATGATAATAACAAAATGTCGGGTTGTTATTCTTCAAGAGGGAGCTGTTCTGGGTCAATATAACGGGTGGAAACTACTCGTATCCTCGGCAACCCGCCCGGCCGCCGTCGTCGAACAAGTCATGCACCCTGTTGTGGATCACAATACCCGCAGAGACGGTGTTAGTCGGGAAAAGTCTGAGAATTCGAAGGGAATCCGCCCAGCTTGTTGTACAAACGGCCTAACAAAGGCCACCACAACAAGTTGAGAAATAAGCTGAAGTTAAGATAGGAACTGGCAACTACAAGTTTATAGGGCAAGGGTGGGGGGAGAAAAAAAAGACGTCCGTCTCTCCAAGCATCCGACAAGGAGAGGAGGAGGTTTTAGAACCCGGGAAGATTTCGAACTCTCCGCGTGTATTTACTGTCTTCTGATTGGCTGTTCTACACGTGGCCCCCGCATGATTCAAGAGTGATTTCGCAACGTTCCAACCCTGTGGGCCTAACTAAAACAAAGCTCTGTTCCTGGCGTCTTGCATATAATCAGCATTTCCTGTGTGGCCTTTTGACCACGTGCTGTTCTGTCTGTCAATATTCTTCACCCACCTACGTGCTAAGATCCTAGTACTTTAATCAAACAAACATACACACATCGTACACTGATAATGCACCCAAAACAATACTTCTGTTTCCTGAAGTAAAAGTTGACTCCAATGTAGATCATTGACGGGGAGGGCGGCTTGATAAAAGACTGGAAAATGTGGAGCAGTCCAGTTTCCTGTCTTGAAAATTACAACAGCATCAAATGACCCAACACCTCAAAACACACTGAAAAACAAGCTGTTTAACGTCACCAGGATCATTCCGATGCCTTCCTGTCCTATGCAAATGAGGTTAGACCCCCTGTTTTCGCGTTGCATTCTGGGGATGGGAAACTGGTGAATAACGCGTTCTACGGTGACCTGCGGTTCGACTGGATTCGGGGGTGGCCGGTAGCACCGATGAGGGGAGGGAGCAGTGAATGAAGCTTCCATTGGGATTCTATGGTGAAACCACTAGAAACAAGCACTTTAAAACACATTTACTTTTATTCCAAACCTCAAGTCTTTACCCCCACTGCAAAGCCGAATTTGTCAGGTTTCTTTTGGCACAAATAGTGGAAGTTCGACTCCTGCTTATTTTTGAGTTACAGCCCAAATACTGAAATGATACCTGGATTTCACCCCCTGTCCAAGTGGAACAGTCCATTCAGCCAGGACCTATCTCGGGGCCGATAGAAGGCCAAGTCTTGCTGAAGGTCAAACGTTTTGGGCAGATTTGAAAAAAAATTACATTCTTCTGTCCTCCTTACCACAAAACTGGGCCTTTCTGTGCAAAATCTGCCCAGGAAAAAAATTATTTAAAAAATAAGTCCAAAAATTTGCATGCGCTTACACTGGTCCCCCTCCATGAGTGCGCAGTTTTCCAACACTTTTTTGCGGTGTAACGACGTTGATCTTTAAATCCCCAAATGTCATGATTATGAACCCAGGTAGGCTTACAGAGAAAGAAAATGTGGGGAAACAACTATGTTTGAAATAGTTGAAATTCTACACAATATAGCTTTAACGTTTTCACAAGACCCCACCCACCCACTACACGGGAAAAGTGGAATAGCCCAGTTTCAGGTACTTGCCCAAAGTTTCGGTGAGTCACACTGACGGAGCCGGTTCGATCACGAATTATACAATTTTAATCATTGATTTCGCAAATAAGAGCCTCATTTGCATGGATTATATATCAGTTGATCTTAATCTCCACTCAATGATAGCCTTATCTTAACAAAACGGCCATTATAGCACTTCCTCATGAATTACGCAAATGAGTGAAATGATTTGAATAAATTATGTTTATTGCTGTTCACCTTCACTTAACTTCCAAATGTATCATAATCTATATCCTCAGATGTTTTGTCTCGTTTTCAATTACATGTCACAAGTGTTTCATAGTCCTATTATCGAACAAGCAGATTTATAGAATTTCCTCATCAATTATGCAAATCTGCATTTTGACTTTATTGAAATTGCAACAATGCAATACACGCGGAACAGAGGCAGCTGTTGGTGTTGTGTCCCGCACATAGAAACAAATACTGGGCACGCAGACAATAATCATTTTCACTTGAGTCTAGTGGGGAAAGTTGTCTAAAGTGCATTTCCCAAGGGCACAATCTTGATCGGTGGCATGTCAGGACTCGAACCCGGGAGTTCTTGATTCCGAGTCGCGCACGCTGCCGTTGCGCCACACGACACCGCATGCTCTGCATACAAGCAAGCACCACATTGCAACCACAGATGGGCATTTTTGTCCAGTTCCTTATATAATAGTAAAGGGGTTACGAGAGACTAGTAGTATCTGATTCTATTCGAGAGAGGCCATTAGATCTCAGCAACCGTCAAATACCCGGGAGCTATCAGTAATCTTATTTATTCTTTGCTTCAGGCCAGAGGCCCATATAAAAACAGGGACAATACAAAAACAAGTACAGATAAACAAATCACATACAGATGTCTAAAAAGTGCGGGTAATCTACACGTCGTGATTGTGTCCTACCTTGTCTAGACGCTGTGACGATCACACAGGCGGTGACTGTTGACGAGGCGATGTCTGCAGCGAAAATGGCACCGAAACTTTCCGCGCCTTCCTGAGATATGCAGACACCTGACGTCAGTGAAACTGACGGTCAGAGCTGCGTGACGGCACACAGCAACCACTCGTCCGACAGGGCGTACTCTTTTGTTACGTCGATGAAGGTTAGACATCCAGGTAATACGATACGCCAAAAGCAGTTACTCACACACACACGACAAGCAACTGGATAATTATGATTTTGAAAACGTCAGACGTTTCAGCTAGTATCCACTAGCTTTCGTCAGTGACTGAGAGACCAGAGGGGAAATGCAGGTTTATAACCACAAACTATTGAGTGAAGACAATTTTTCTTGTTCCTTTTTCGACTTCCAAAAAAAAATGTCTTCACTTTATTTGCATATCAATCAATAGTTTGTGCTTATAAACCTGCAATTCCCCTCTGGTCTCTCAGTCACTGACGAGTGGATACTACCTGAAACGTCTGACGTTTTTAAAATCATATCCAGTTGCTTGAGTAACTACTTTTTGGCGTTTTCTATTGTTGTTGTTCTAAATATAGAAACCTCGTTGAAACCTAATTATAAACACCTTGTCACACATATATCCAAACACGACTTCCCGAACACATAGCCCAAGCATAGATAGGAGTAGGCCAAGAGCAAGGTCGGTGTGGTTGATTGATTGTATACGCATTTTCCATTTTTTTTTTTTTTTTGCTTAGGCCACACCGACTTAATTTTATGGATGACATCCGAGCGCGATTTGATTTTCGCCTGTTCTCAACAAAAAGAAAAAAGAAAAAAAAAAGATCACGTCCATCGGAGGCTCTGGCCTGGCTCCAGGCCTTGGTAGTCCATAGCGGTTAGCGACAATACGGAGCCGGGCACCCAGGCTACCGAAGCTCCACGACTCAAGAACTCAGTACATACGTACAGTGCCGATTCATAAATTTCACATAAAGTCAGCATGTGCCAATTTCAGGTCGCAGAGAGCGCGCCGTCTAAGTGAAAATGGCTACATTGTTTACATGCAACCAGTTGGACTTTGGACCCAAACTACGGTAGAGAATACAACGCGGTAGTTAGGTTGGCAGGTATCCATTCAATATTTGAACTGGGGTCACCAGAGCACCAGTACAAATTATCAAATGTAATAAATTGACTAGAAAGGTAACATTTGCAGAGCAAATACATAATATTCACCTTCGCATGTGCTCTGTTAATTCTTAGTAGTAAACTAGCTTAAACACATTCATGGCCAGACAGGAGTCTAAATCGCTCCTGCCATAAAATTGCAACATGATGTACTAGTATTCCAACACTAGTTACCATGGTGACGTCTGGTTCAGGTCATTGACTTTTGACATTCATTTTTGTTTGGAGAAGAAGAGGAAGAAGAAGCAGAGGAAAGTTAAAATACAGCACTTTGGTACAAATAACTGCAATAAAAGTATGATTTTCATGTGCATAATGGCCAAGGCTACAAATGTACGTTTGCACAAATCAATATCACTAATTACTCGTAGCTATAGTTATTAGGGAATAACTAGCTTTTAATTAGGCTATTAGGTTATCTTCTTATAAGTACAGGTAATTAGTAGATATCAATTTGTGCAAACGTACATTTGTGGCCTTGACCATTATGCACATGAAAATCACACTATTATTGCAGTTACTTGTACCAAAGTGCTGGATCATAACTTTAAAAATAATCATATTTGGGGCAATGAAATATGATGACTTCATCCATATGGTCCATAAAATCATATTCATAACCCTTTTGTATCCACGTATCAATATTCAGTACAACTACAGTTCTTTCTACATTTTTTGTGACAAAACAATGAAAAGTTTAAAATGCCAAATTAGCCAGGGAGGACACCTTAATTCTTGCAATTGTTAGGGACATCAGATATACAGGGCTGCTTTAAAATAAAAAAAGAACAGACCAACATGAAAACTAAGCTACACAACTTTAATGAAAATAACCATTTCCCGTCATTTTAACCACTTGGCAAACTGCAAGTAACAGTAATTAGGGATCTTAATTCTCTACATTTGCTGTTTCTAGATAATATTAAAACATATTACATGTGTAACTGAGAACGAGAGAAACATCAACATAATGAAAATGGAAATCTAAATCTAGTGAAAATGGAAATCTAATTTGCATAATGGCAAAGCAAAACCCAAATGGTGAATGGTGGAGGTTTCATACAAGTAGTCAAGGGATTTTAAAGTTGAATGAAGATAAACATCAGTAAACATACCATAAGTCAGGATCTCATTTGCTTAGTTGATGAGGGAATGCCAGAATAACGTTAACCTTAATAGTTTGTTAAGATATAAGACCGACAAGGATCGTGGCCGGCCGTATGCATTGCATTTCCAAATATATATTGACATTCATACAGCTTTGCAAAGTTCCTAAATTTCTCCCAAAAATGAATTGTAATTCTAAACTTTGTGGTCTCTAATATACTGTCTTCTTTTGTGTATTCTACCAAGAATGTATATCATCCAATGGCTACTGTGTAGTATGCAATTAACAAAACAAAAGCTTGGAATATAGTACATCCCAACTTTACATGTAGGTAATACTTTGAACAAATGCTAAAATTTTAGGCAGTGAAAACAGAAAAGAGCTATGATAGGCGTCTTTTCAGTTCACCTCATTGTCAGACCTGCCATGCTCTGTGCAACCTCTGCCACACCGCCGCTACTTCCCATGGCCGTCTGCATGGCGTCCACCATACGGGTGATCAGGCCGTACAGGGGCGTGAGAGGAGATGTACTCGGGCCTCCGGGTGTGGCAAGCACGGCGTCCTGAAGTAAAGGTTGAACGAAAAATAAATTGTGTCACACTTTTGGTTTTTAAGTTTGGGCGTAGATTGATCACACCACAAAAGCCACATGTCCGCAACCATTTTTTGTGAAACGCAAAGGAGATGCAATCATCTAATCCACAGTCTAAAAGACACTGTAGATCTCGTGTTGTTCGACATATATACCCCCTTGTACACACATGTGTATGTACGTTTGCAATCTGTGATAAATGTTCACTATACGCATACATTTAAGATATTTACTAGTAGGTCTTATATAACTTACAAAAATGTATGCACTGTCAGAGATCCTCATCGGAATTACTGTTTACAGAAACTCCGATCCGGATCTCTCTCGGTAGAATGGACGATAGGTTATCAGACCGGAGTCTCCATTCTAAGAATATGCAATGCCAACTTATAGTGTAACGGACATGACCTTTGTGATTTTGGTAATTTGTGGGTAACCATATGGAAAGAGATGTTTGCATATATTAGGAGATGATGATGATGATATATTAGCGCGATAGGTAGGCCCTGATTGGTTACTGAGTGTAACCAATCAGTGAAGAAGTATTGTTAGCATAGTTGAGCTTGGAAGTGATAATTGCTCTAAAGTTAGTTCGTGACCCAGGACTCAGGTGGGTGTACATGTCTAGTAATATCTCTGTGTAGGTTAGTAGATTGTCTTAAGTTTTTCGAGGTACAGATTATCTATGAAATCTAGTTGCGAATCGAAAAAAAATTACTTACAGATTCGCCCATCAGCGACAATTGAAGGAGATTCTCCTGCACTCTCTCTGTTCCCTCCTCGAACTGGACCACGTTAGCCTGGAGGATTGCAGCATCTTCCAACACCACCTGGACCCTGTCAAGCACGTCCTGCACCGGGCCGCGGTGGCTGGGTTGGAGGTCCCCAGCGGCTCTCTCCATCTTTGAGTTGTCGATGTAGTGAACGATCTTCTCTGCCTGGGTGGCGATCTTCTCCCAGTCAGTCTTCTGCCTGCTGGCATCAAAGTGCATTGCATCAAGCTGCTTCTGCAACTCCTCCAGGGCTTTACCAATGTTCTCCATTTCTGAAATGTACATGTAACTATAAGTGTACAACAAATAAAAACAAATAAGGCCAAGTTATGTGTACAATTCCCTTATCTTTTTGACACACCTGTCATTTTTACTCATCTCAAGTTATATAGTACATCATTCTTTTTTCTGCCTTTTCGTTAGCATTACCTTTCCCTACTACCCTTTAATTAGCACAGCCCCTTTCTTTCTCTTTTCTAAGATAGCCTTTACTTCAAGGGATAACATAGGTGACACATGTAGGCTTAGTTACTAACCTTGCTTGTTTTTGTGTAGACCCCATGCTGCTATACCTGCGCCCACAGAAGCCACACCGCTGGTAATGGCGAACCCCCCTGCCACCTCAGCTGGAATGACCTTGGCCACCGATTCAAGAAACACCGCACAGCAAGCTGTCGCGGCACTTCCTACACATGCTGTAAGAAATGCAACAGAAATTCCCAGGGCCGCGAGGGATGCGACTAAAATCCCTGTTTCTCGGTTACGATGTTGTCCCAGTAGACTGCTGATGCTCTCCTGTGTCTCCTTAATCTCTTCAAGGAATGCCTTGAACTGCTTCGTGATCTCCTGACAGGATTTTGAGCACTTCTCCCCCTCGCCTTTCACCTCCCCAATACGATCCTTTATCGTACTGAGATCAACGCCTGAAAATCAAAGCAAAACAAAATGCTGGTCTGAAAGCAACTAAAATCGCCTACCTTTCTTAAAGTTTACAAATCGAAACGAAATTGTGTTAGATTTAAGTCAAGTTTGACCCCCGAACACTACTAACTTACTCCCGCATTGTTGACTGCTGTTCTGCTGACTTACAGCAGAATCCTAGCGAACCATGGCCGACTACCCCTCGATTGTGTAAAAGAATTGAAACATCCGAATAGTAGCTGACCTCACCAAAACCAGCCCAAATTGCGCTGACCTAACATGGCAATTTGGGCTGGCGTTCGGCTAGTGTTCGGGAGACAAATTCGCGAATGTGTGATAGGGGCTTTAACGACTTACGGTACTCCTGGATGCGGTCATGCAGTGCCTCCTTGGCCGCTTGGGTGGGCAGATGGACCTGCTCTACATCGAAGTCAGCCCTCATCAGCTGGTAGGCAAAATTCAGGTCTTCCTTCTGGAAACTTGGCAGGTACTTTTTCAGACTAAGGTCTGCCAGGACCTCACTGACAGTACCGTCTCTCACAAGGGTAAGGATATTCTCAATCCCTTCAAGATTCTTCCTTAACATCTCAATGAAGTTCCTGTATTGAACACATGAATAGGCAAGAAACCTTGATTTCGGATGCTTTAGAGATGACATAGTATTACATGACTGTTTCCTGCTTCCTTTCAAGGACATCTTGCAGTTGACGTAAGTAATCACCATTCTTTTATATGTACAATGTGCATGTCTAAAGCGTCTATGGAACCTGGGTAGAGAATGCAACTTGGTACTCTGGTTAGCAGGTATACATTCAATATTTGAACTGGGGTCACCAGAGCACCAGTTCAAATGATCAAATTTAATGAATAGAAAAGGTAGACTGCAATGTAAAAACGCTTCTTTGAACCATACATGAAGACATTCTGATACCAGGCTTTACCAAAGCCAACAAGACTCAGTCCCGCGTACACTTGGCAACTCCAATATAATTTGCAACGAACGCAAAACTGACAGCGAAGAAAAGAGTGGGTGGCGGTTTTGCGGTCGTACATGGACTTGGTCATCTTTTTTTCCAATTGCCTAGACAGCCTATCCAGGAGAGTTAATTTTTGTGAACACCATTTTGCCAGGTATGTATAGTTAGTCATGTTACAAAGCGTAGCGGTTTCCAAAAACAAATAAACACACTCACCTGAAGAGCATACATTCACGCAGAGCCCCGGAGAGCAATTCCAAATACTTTTCGAGCAGGACTACCACCTTCCCTCGAACCTCGGCTCCTTGTTCCCGCATGGTGGAGACTATCTGCCGCACATTCTCGTCTATGTGCTTCAGCAGTTCGACCATTTGGTCGGCTGGGAAGACAGTCGCTAGTCTGGACACGATTGGGGGCATTTTGAACGCAGACAGCACCTTTAGGCACCTTGATTGTCTGGGACGGCAGTATCGATTAGGTATCTACGTGCAGGGAGACAAGTCAGTCTGTTTTAGGTACGCACCAGCCTTTTTCTAGTCTGATGACTCACCGAAACTTTGGGCAAGTACCGTTATACTGGGCTATTCCATGCTCAAGATAAAAGGGTTGTACCAGTACAAACCGCCTTTTTCTGCCGACTGTTGGGACATGGACAGAAACCGCTCTCTTTAATAATATTCCTTGAAGACCTGTCGTTGTCCCTTCTTTACATCGGCAGAACAAATTAACACTCTTATGTCCCATATCTGCTTGTATATTACTAACCCCGTTCCCCTTTAGCTTTGAACCTGTCTACACCAGAATAGCCAAGACCCTGTCACAGTCTTAAAATAGAAAACCCCCAGGAGCGAGTATCAAAGTATCAAATAGCGTAGTATTGTTTGCAGTCTGCAAGGATAAAAGGAATTGTAATGTTTCCACATGCACAGGTCTTTTTCTACGTTCAGATCTAAACTTACCCTTCCATCTGAGGGGGTGTCTATGGTAAAATTGTTGGACCCTAGGCTGTATACGGCCCCTGGCAACAGTCTGGCACCCAGGCTACCTTAACTGTTGACGCTGCGTTGCCAAGTGGTGATCTATGAACCGTGAGGTCTCGTACATACCTGGATTGAGATATAAGGTTACATTCACCAGGAAGCGCGACACCTGTTAGCTTAGGGATTTCTCACTGTCAGATTGGTGTTGAAACACAGATATAATGCTTGCTTGGTAGGTACGTAGTGCTGTATATTCCTACTTTATGTGCACAGAAACCAAAGTGTGGGGTTACTGTTGTAGGCCACGTTTGACTCCAGGCACGTGCGGTGACGATCGTTACCTGACACCTTTTGTCGGTGCGGAGACCGACCCGACGCCCATAGCCCGAGTTGTAACAGAAGGGAACACCGAGCTTCGTGTGATGGAACTCACGATGTAAAACTCTGGTCCGGCGCATGTTGAGCAGGGATCCGAAGGAGCGCCCGAGTGCTAAAAAGGTGCTGAGAACTTTAATCTGGGAGTACGGTGACTACCGGGTGAGGAAAGCCGCCGTGAGAGTGGATGATGACGACAACGCTAGCTGCTCACCCAGCGGGATTTTCTGGTCTATCGGTTGTGCGCTCTGCTACTTAGACAAGAACCAACTCTTTGCTAAGTTCTGGAAAGGAAAGGGGATTTTGTTCATGCTCCTGGCCATTGTCACCAGCCTAGCTGTATTGTTGACTCAAACTTTTTACATAGCATTCATGTACACTGTCATATTTTTCATTGCAATCATAAGCTTCCTGATCAAGGTATCCTTATTATTTGTACGTAAGGCCACACCAAGTAAATTTTATGGATGACGTCCTTTGGAGACCCTAAATCTAATGCGAGAGGGCGAATAAAAAACAAGAAGGGCCCTAAAAACAAGATGCCTAGATTAGAAATATACAAAGAGACGACAAATGTTAGGACACAAATTGAATGAGGTGACACAGTGTAATAAGTAAGAAGTCTTTTATTCATCATCAAAACAGCAATAAACCAGGTGGAACAGCAGTTGTCGTCCTGTCCTGTTTTCGCGTTACGGGTTTCACGTCAATCTGACGATTTGCGGCACTGTCGTGACTCTTTGGTCATAGTTACAGGAAGCGGAATTTCTTGGTTTTTTTTCTTCTAGGAACAGGCCAAAATCAATGCGCGCGCGGACGTCATCCATAAAATTTACTTGGTGTGGCCTAACTATGAACCCAAAGATGACGACGTTACCAATGTGCTGACATCACCATACGGTGAGCCACATCTAAAGTGGTGGCGTAGCTCACCAGCCGATTTTTATAACGCATGTCCGACTTTGTTTTCTTGCCAATCCACACAGCCAGGCTGCTGTACATGCCTTTATAACTTAGAAGACGGCCCAGACTGCTGCAGCGCATTGGAGGAGTACTACTGGTTACATCAAGTCAAGTTGAACCTCAAATAAACTGAAGCAAAGTTGAACTGTAATTATTAAAATAAACAAGAATTCGGAGATCTCATACCTCCATTAAATATATGAATTTGTCCTTATTAATTATGCAAACAACATCTAAATTTTAGCATAATATATGCAAATTAGGTCATCATTTGCATAATTGGTATCTGTTGATGTTTCACCTGCCATAGATTAAATAGATTACATGTGTAAAAGTACTATATATAAAACACTGTAATTATAGAATTCTCTCCCTAATTATGCAAATTAACTCTCCATTTGCATAATTTGTATTTAATTATGTACATTTCTCCTTCAGCTACCTACACACCAAAAATGATGAAAATACATTGTTCCTAGCTGGACTTATTGGCTTTTAACGTTTTCGCCAGAGAGTCCCCTGCAGTTCCAGAACAAGCTTTTAGGGGGACCAAACCAACACCACTTATTCCTGACAGTAATTTTCAACAATAAAATTGTTTTCTTGTTCTATCCCCTGTGTGGATTCGTGGTCAAACTTGTCTGTACTTTAATTTAGAGCTGACTTCCTTCAATTAACAAACACTTTACAACGCAATCCAGTCTACAACGGAACACATCATACAAGTGTCTTTATAGTCATTGTTTGTTTAATCACAAATTGGTCCTCACTGAAACACAAGTCATTATTTAAAACACACAAACACAATTCTATTTAATATCATGCATTTCACAACATTAAGTTAGAGTGCATTAGATTCCTTTTCTTTTGACAGATTTAGTACAATGGATAATTTTAAAAGATGCACAATTACAAATACATGTAACATACAATGAGTAGATATATTAATAATTTTAATAGAAATTGTTGAATAACTTTTTTCCCACAGTATACGGATGCATCACGATATATTTACGGTGTATCATTGCTGTCATGTATATATAGTGTACATGAACCTTTTGCATGTTTGACGCAGGCATAATGCCTTATTAATTTTTTTATTTTGTTATTTATTTATTTATTTCGCACACAAAAAAACAAGATACAAGGTGAAGTAAATTAAATCAAAAACACTGTGCAGGAGAACATGACGCCTTAAAGGCTTGTACAAGTCCTTCTCCTTAAACATAACAAAACAATCACAATTAAACTGATTAACTGAAAATCAAGGCAAATGAAGAGAAAATATCAACACTAAATAAGTACCCATTATACAGTCAAAATCAAAATTATAGCAAAATAAACTAATGAAGAAGCTAAGTAACACTTGAATAAATCAAACCAAGAAGTATAGCAGCTACAATAACATTATATTGACTAATAATAATAAGACTATCTAAAAGGGAATTAAGCTAATAGAAAGTTGGGTTATTTATGAGGTTTTCTTTTAAAAGAAAGATGAATTAATTCGTAAACTCCGGTCTAAAGTGTTCCGGGGGTTACCTTATGATGCATATAGATGAGTTACAAGGTGATTTTGCAGTGCACATCAATTATTGTAAAGAATAACACACCAATGTTAATGCCACAGGTTTACGTCTATATTTGACCGAATATTCAAATTGTGATCTGCTAATTATCTTCCTTACTTTTCATGCAGCTATATTTTGTCACAATTCCAGGCAAATATCAGAAAAAAGGTGTGATAAAAATACTTTGTCGAAAGGGATTTCGAACTAAGAAGGAGAGAAGGAATGTTTGGGGATTAGGACAAATAGATTCTTTAGAACAACAGGGAAAGGGGAATATCCCTGGCCTTGGCAGCCCAACACCCAGCCTATCACTGCAGTTTCAGAGCCTTAGACAATGCAGTGCTGAGCTGACCTTGGTCGCTGCTGCTTCCCTTCTTGAAAGCTGCCACAAACCCAGTTATCATGTTGTACAAACCCTGGAAGTGCGATGCACTCTCTCCTACTGGAACAGCAAGTACCTTGTCCTGGGGGCAAAGTAGTTCAGAGTTTTATACTCATAACACAGCCTGGAGATATTGTTATATATACTTAGCAAGAAAGCCAAAATGTGTTCAAACGGTCACCTGTACACTTTTGCATTGTACATTGTACTTGATAATGTCGCTGTCTTACATTTCATTTGCATTGATTGTAAACATTTTGAACTGTACAGAATTCCAGATTTAGAAAAAAAAGTTTCTAAGATGACTTTACCATAATGAAAACATGATCCAACAGTTAATGAAAACTACTTACTGATTCCTTCAACAGAGACAGGTCACGAAGGTTTCCCTGCACACGCTCTGCCTCCTTCTTGAACTGGACCACGTTAGCCTGGAGGATTGCAGCATCTTCCAACACCGCCTGGACCCCGTCAAGCACTTCCTGCACCGGGCGGCGGTGGCTGGGCTGGAGGTTGCCTGCGGCTCTCTCCATCCTTGAGTTGTCGATGTAGTGAACGATCTTCTCTGCCTGGGTGGCGATCTTCTCCCAGTCAGTCTTCTGCTTGCCGGCATCAAGGTGCATCGCATCAAGCTGCTTCTGCAACTCCTCCAGGGCTTCACCAATTTTCTCCATCTCTGAAATTTACATGTAAGCAAAGTGGTAACTATGACTCATCGAGTATACAACAAATAAAAACCAATTAGACTAAGCTATGTAATTATACAACTTCATATTTTTGGCTGTCATTTTTTACTCATCTTTATACGGTTCTTTGTTCTGCCTTTTCGTTAGCATTACTTTTCTGTGCTTTAATACAGCCCCTTTCTTTCTCTTTCCTAGGATAGCCTTTACGTAAATGGATGATATGTAAATGTCACGTGCAGGTTTAGTTTTTTTATGACGATTTACCACATTTGTGGAAGGATTGACATAACAGGTGACTATCACCTCTTCAAAGATGTCAACCCCGGGACAGACTGTAAGGTTTGAACCACTCACACCGGGAAGGTCCCCTACTCTTTTCGATAAGTGAGGTGGGTTCTTTAACGTGCGTCAGGCGTGCTTGGGGTGTTGCTCTCCCAAACACGGGACCTCCATTTAGCGTCCTATCCGAGGGAGGTCCCTAGCCGAAGCTAGGTACTCATTTACACCTGAGTGAAGTGAGGAAAGTCGTGTTAAGTGCCTTTCCCAAGGGCACAAGATATCGCTGGCATCGGGCAGGATTCGAACCCTCGCCCTCTCGAGTCTGGGCCGAAGACGCTACCGCTACGCCAGACGATCCCACATACTTACATAGTTACTAACCTTTCTTCTTTTTGTGTATACCCCATGCTGCTATCCCTGAGACCACAGAAGTCACACCACCGGCAATAGCCAACCCTCCTGCCACCTCAGCTGGAATGACCATGGCCACTGCTCCAATAAACATCGCACAGCAAGCTGTTGCGGCACCTCCTACACATGCTATAAGAAGTGCAACAGAAATTCCCAGGGCCGCGAGGAATGACCCAAACATGATTGTTTCTCGGTTACGATGTTGTCCCAGCAGACTGCTGATGCTCTCCTGTGTCTCCTTGATCTCTTCAAGGAATCCCTTGAACTGCTTCGTGATCTCCTGACAGGACTTTAAGCACTTCTCCCCCTCGCCTTTCACCTCCCCAATACGATCCTTTATCGTACTGAGATCAACGCCTGTAAATCAAAGAAAAACAAACTGCTGGCGTGAAAGCAATTAAATAACACTATTAAAAGTACGATCTAGTTCCTTTCAAACCCAGGACGTTTCCCCAGACACTACCTGACCACATTCGTGAGCTGTCATACCAGATTTAGGCCGCGCCTAGGTGTACCTTTCTATACAAACTTGAGTTAAGATTTGAATCAAATTCGACCCGCACACTACTGACGTACTGCCGAATGGTTGGCTGTTGTTCTGCTGACTTACAGCAAATCCTAGATATAACCATGGCCGAACCTCCCGAACGCCCCCCCCCCTCCGAATGTTTAAAAAAACAGTTAAAAAATTCGTCTTGCGGAGCCGAATAGTCAGGTATGTGACTGCATGCGACTTGACGAGATTCACACAGCGTAGCCGACCCCGCCGAACATCAACCGACTTTTTTTTCTGAGACCTACTCCTGTAACACATGACGGCGGAGCCGGCGTTTGGCTAGTGTTACGTTCGGGAGGCCAAATTCGTGACATGGACTTGAAAGACTTACGGTATTCCTGGATGCGGTCATGCAGTGCCTCCTTGGCCGCTCGGGTGGGCAGATAAACCTGCTCTACATCAAAGTCAGCCCTCATCAGCTGGTAGGCAAAATTCAGGTCTTCCTTCTCGAAATTTGGCAGGTACTTTTCCAGCCTGAGGTCTGTCAGGACCTCACTGACAGTACCATTTCTCACAAGGGTAAGGATGTCCTCAATGCCTTCAAGATTCTTCTGTAACATCTCGATGAAGTTCCTGTATTGAACACGGCAAGGCGAGAAACCTCGACGTTACGGACGTTTAGAGATTAAGATACATGACTGTTTATTCATTTCAAGGATATCCTGCATCCATCATTTGTATGTACAATGTATGCCAAAACTGAAAGCAAAGGCCAGAGTGTGGTTTTGTGCCCGCACATGGACATAGCCGTATTTTTTTGTCATTGCCTAGACAGCCTATCCAAGAGAGTTAATTTTGGTCATGCTACAAAACGTAGAGGTTTATTCAGTTATTGAAAGTAGATTCACCTGAAGAGCATGCACTCACGCAGAGCCCCGGAGAGCAGATCCAAATACTTATCGAGAAGAACTACCACCTTCCCCCGAACCTCGGCTCCTTGTTCCCTCATAGTAGACACGATCTGTCGCACATTCTCGTCGATGTGCTTCAGCAGTTCGACCATTTGGTCCGCTGGGAAGACAGTCGCTAGTTTGGACACGATTGGAGGCATTTTGAACGCAGACAGCACCTTTAGGCACTTTGATTGTCTGGGACGGCTGTATCAATTAGGTATCTACGTACAGGGAGACAAGTCAGTCTGTTTTAGGTACGCACCAGCCTTTTTCTAGTCTGATGACTCACCGAAATTTTGGGCAAGTACCGTTATACTGGGCTATTCCATGCTCAAGATAAAAGGGTTGTACCAGTACAAACCAACTTTTTCTGCCAACTGTTGGGACATGGACAGAAACCACTCTCTTTAATAATATTCCTTGAAGACCTGTCGTTGTCCCTTCTTTACATCAGCAGAACAATTTAACACTCTTATGTCCCATATCTTCTTGGATATTACTAACCCCGTACCCCTTTGTACCTGTCTATATAGAATAGTCAAGACCCTGTCACAGTCTTAAAATAGCCAAAATACCTTTACTGTTGACGCTGCGTTGCCAAGTGGTGATCTATGACGTCAGTGAAACTGACGGTCAGTGGTGCCTGACGGCACACAGCAACCACTCGTCCGACCGGGCGTTTTCTTTTGTTGCTGTTGAGAAAATCGAAACCTTCGTTGAAACCTAATTACAAAGACCTTGTCACACGTACATGTATCCAAACATGGCTTCCCAAACACACAGCCCAAGCATAGATAGGCCAGGAGCAAGGTCGGTGTGGTTGATTGATTGTATACGCATTTTCCATTTTTTTTGCTTTATATTGTATGCACCGTTGTACATGTGGATTAGTCCAATTTCCTGTCTGGGAAATGTCGCAACAGGTACGCAACAGTGGCGCGTATACTGTATTACTAATCACATACATGTACGTAATATCAAACATGAAACTAGAGTTCCACGATTTCATACCTTCGAAAATAAACTTCATGATTGACAAATTATAAATGTTTGATGGTCTCATTGATTATACAATGATATGATAGCATCATCATATGCCTAAATTCATATTCTCCACTCATTTAAACTTATTTTAAACAAAGAAATCTATTCTAGCATTTCTGCATAACATATGCAAATTGTGTCTTTATTGGAATTAGTTATGCTTGATGATGTTCATGTTAACTTGACTTCTAAATGCCGTAACTATGAAATTTCCACCATTTAGAGTACAGAATTATAGAATTTTCTCATTAAATGAGCAAATTGTTTACAACTTACGCCATTGATAACTTTTAATTATACTCTTCCTCTGAATTACTTGTAGGAATAATAGGTGGTTGACAATATGTATGTCACAGGGGAGATTGGAATCCAGGGTAATCTGGCTAGGGGAAATTAGACTTCTATACCTAGTCTCCCCAAGTGTGAAAGAATCCCACCGTAGTAACGTTAAATGTAACGTTATATTGGACTGTGACTATACTCAGTCCACACAATGTGACTCGCTAAATGCGGCCTTTACCGGCAGAGTAGAACTTGCAGTTGAAATTGCGCGTCCTATCCTGGCGTGCTTGCGTTGAATTTCACCAACTAGCTAGATTTCCCGGTAAGGAAAACTTTCTTATGAAGATAAAGGAAGCATGTACGTTCTTGATTATATAATTTATAATATATTCACAACTGATTTGCCTCTTGTCAGAATCGCCCCGAGGAAGGTGACAGACGGTCGCACCGAAACGTCGGCTGAATAAAAGACTTGGTTGTGTAAAAAGAGTCTCTTTACTCAGTGTCTTACCAACCTGATGAAACTATTGACGGAGGATTTGCCTCTTTTGACTTACTGTGTATAAATAAACTAGTAACAGTAGTTTACACTTTGACCAGTTGACATTCAATGCTCGCTTGGTTGACGGACTATTGTTCACCTGAACAGACCGTTTGTTTATGTTCGCCCTTTCCTGTAGCCTGAATGCCAGACTCCGGTTAGGCACAAGACTCTCTTCGGCTGGGGAAAGCCACAAGCCCCGATCCCAGAGTTAGCACCTGGGGGGGTCTAATTCCTCTCTTCAGCC